GTAGTAGTAGTGGTAGTAGTAGTAGTAGTCGTAGTAGTAGTAGTAGTAGTAGTAGTAGTAGTAGTAGGAGGAGGAGGAGGAGTAGCAGTAGTTGGGGTTTCTATTGTTCATGGGGGTCGCATGGCCGCATGTCTCATGGAGCTTGAACGGCATACGGGGCTCATCGCTTCCAACATGAGCCCACGAACTCCCTGCGGTTTATTTTTTATGGGGCTGGGGCTGGAGTTGAGCTCGAGCTGGATCTGGGGCTTGAACTGGCGCTGTGCTGGAGCTGGAACTGGAGCTGGAACTGGGGAGCTCATGCAAGCGCTGCTGCAGCTCCCCGTCCTCCTCCTCCTCCTCCTCCTCCTCCTCCTCCTCCATCTCCTCCTTCTCCTCCTCTTCCTCCTCCTCTCGGAGAGCACGAAACGCTTGACAGTTCGATCCTGGGAGAGGGGTTCAGGCAACACGGAAAACAGTGTTACCCCAGCAAAGCCGTTTAATAGCAGCAAGGTGACCCACGGCACTTGTGTACCTGTGGGGCCTGCGGGTTTACCGAACCTGGTGCGCCCGTGGGACCTGTGGGACCCATGGGATTTGCGACACCTGTGGGCATTGCGGGAGCTTCGGCAACCTGTGGCATTTGTGGGTCTTGCGAGACGTTGGACCCGTGGGGCCTGTGGGACCAGTGGGACCTGTGGGACCTGGTGGACCTGCGAGATCTGCGAGGCCTGTGATACCTTTGGGACCTGTGGGGCCTGGTGGACCTGTGTTACCTGTAGGATCTATGGGGCATGCGGGACCTTCGACACCTGTGGGACTTGTGGAGCCCGTGGGACCTGTTGGACCCGCGGGACCTTTGGGACATGTGGGACCCGCGGGACTTTTGGGACCTGCGAGACCCGTGGGACCTTGGGGGACATGCGAGACCTGTGGGACTTGTTGGACCTGTGGACCGTGTCTGGCAACCGTCGCCGTCTCCTCTTCCTCCTCCTCCTCTTCCTCCTCCTCCTCCTCCTCTTCCTCCTCCTCCTTCCTCCCTGAAACCTGCGAGACCTTTATTTTGTGTTTGGTTCCTCTTGGGGGGGCCACCTTTGGGCTCTCCCAGGGCGTCTTGGGGGCATTGTGGGCCGTCCTGAGACCAGCCTGGGCGTTCTGGAGCGGTCTTGGGCCGTTTCGGTGCTCTGCGGGACCGTCTGGGGAGCTATCCTGGGCTTGCGTTGGCGGCTTTAGGGGGCCGCATGCGAACCCTACCCCTACCCCCCACGATTCCTGAGGGGGAGGGTGGGGTCCACTTCGTTCGGGAGCTCCCGAACGAAGTGAACCCCACCCTCCCCCTCAGGAATCGTGGGGGGTAGGGGTAGGGTTCGCAGCGGAACCGTCCGGGGAGCTATCCTGGGCTTGCGTTGGCGGCTTGGGATGGCCTGGAAGGGGCTCCTGGACCCGAAAACTCGAATTCCTTCCCGATGGGGGGCGCCCAGGGCCGAATTTATGTATGGGGGGGTCCGCAAGGGGGGTTCTCTTTATGAGAATATTCTAGAAGAAGAGAGAGAGAGAGCAAAATCTATATATCTATATATATATAGAGAGAGAGAGAGAGCGAGAGAGAGAACGAGAGAGAGAGAGAGAAAGAGAGAGAGAGAGAGAGATATAGAGAGATAGAGAGAACCAGAGAGAAAGAGAGAAAGAGAGAGAGGGCGGAGGAGGAGGAGGAGGAGGAGGAGGAGGAGGAGGAGGAGGAGGATAACCTTTCCTCTGTGCAATTCTCACAACCATCCTGTAGTGTTAGGCACTCGTTTTGAATCCGCAGCCTCCCGCGTCTTACTGCCACCCTCCGCCTTCCTCCTCCCCTGCCTGCTTCTGCTCCCCTCGTGCCCAATCCGCCACGTCCCTCCCATGCATCGTATTATCCCCATAGGGAGCTCCGCCTGCGGTGTCGGTAGTCGCGAAGGCATGGCGCACCCGCCCCTGAATTCGGCGCGCGCCGCCTACGTTTCTTAGCCTCGTAGGGGGTTCCACCTGCCGTGGCCGTTGGCTTGACCGCACGGCGCACCCGCCCCTCACTCGTCACACCCATCACACGCTTCGTGGCCCTATGAGGAGGTCCAGCCAGTGGGCGCGAGCGCACGGCGTACCCGCCTCCGTTCTCGAGTTGCTGTTTGTACACCGCACCCTCCCCACCCCAGTCAGATTCCCTCCCTACCCCAGTCAGATTCCACCCCACTGGGCCACGTTCAGCACACAAAAACCACGCCCCCGTGGAAGGCATTTTTTAGACCGGATCCACGACCAGGACCCTCGCCCATCCCCCAGGGCTTTGGTCATCGTGTACCATTCTTTCGGGCGGACTCCAAGCCGGCACACCCCTCCCACGCTGCATATCCCCATGGGGAGCTCCACCTACTTTGTCAGTGGGCGCGACCGCATGTCGCCCCCGCCCCCAACTCGGCACTCTCCGACGCCGTCGTTGTCGCCGTCGGGCCGCCCTCGTCGCTTCCAGGCGGCGGCTCCTCTTCGGCCTCGGCCTCGCGGTCGGCGGCCAGCTCTGTGAGAGGGGCCGCAGCGGCGGCTGCTGCAGGCGCCGCGGCTGGTACCGCCGCTTGCGGCACGGGCCTCGTCGTCGTCCTCGGCCTCCTCAGAGCCTCAGAGCCTCGGGCGCAAACAGTTGCGAAATGGGAAGTTCAACGCTGAAAGTGAAAGAAAAGGAAAGGACAGCCTCGTCGTCGTCGTCGGCCTCCTCAGAGCCTCAGAGCCTCGGGCGCAACAAGCTGCGAAATGCTAAATGCAACGCCGAAAGTAAAAGAAAAGGAAAGGACAGCTCGAGAGTTGCGGCACGGGCAGCCCTGCCCACTGTTTTTCGTGGAGGGGTCCTTGCCTGCCTTGGGCAGCTCGAGCGTCCTCTGCGCCCTCAGATTCCCCGCCGTCGCTGGTGGGCAGGGCTTCTCGAGGTGGGCGTCGGTGGCCTCCTCCTCCTCCTCCTCCTCCTCCTCCTCGCTCCTCCTCCTCCTCCTCCTCCTCCTCCTCCTCCTCCTCCTCCTCCTCCTCCTCCTCCTCCTCCTCCTCCTCCTCCTCCTCCCTCCTCCTGCCGCAGAGTGCCTGTGCAGAGCGATCTGCCGCTCCAGGCCACCATCCGACGCGTCGTCCTCGCGCTCCACCTTTCTAACAAATGCAGAACGGCCACGGCCAGCCAGCCAATCGCGTTGCTGGCTGCTGCCCGCGCTCTTGTCGTGCGCTGGTCAAATTTACCGCCTAGCGCACGGCGGCTGAGCCCCAGGAGACACGCTCGCCTCAGGCTGCCCGCACTCCTGCCGCAGAGCTGCCGCCTTTGCCGCTGCCCTTCGTCGTGGTGGACTTGATGGCACCGTGGCGAGGTGTTGGGTGAGGTCGGGTCGGTTTGTCCTCTGCTCTCCCATCTTCGTGGGTGACCGCGCCTGGACAAGAAGTTCTCCCTCGAGTGCGCGAGCGCTCGAAGATCTCGTCCACGTGCTGGAGCTCCCGCGGGTGCGCCGCGCCCCTCCCGTCGGGTCGGAAGAGGGGAAGATGCACGCCACCGCGCTCGGTAGTGTCAGCTCGGGCCCGGACCTTGGGCGGACGCCGGCCCGGCCAGGGCCCGCAGGCCACGCGCACCTCATGCGGAGCAATGGATGGGGGGGGGGGCGAAGAAGAGTACGCCCTTCGTGCCCCTACTAGGGGCCCAGGGGGCCCTCTCGGGCCCCTGAGGTGCACGAGAGGTTTTTTTTTTTTTTTTTTTTTTTTTTTCTCCCCCAACCATCCTGTGGTGTTGGGTCCTCGTTTTGAAGAGACAGCGCCCCGCGTTTCTCCTCCTCCTCGCCCCCTCCCCTTGCCTCTGCTCTCGGCACACCTCTCACGCGTTTCGTAGCCCCATAGGGAGCTCCACCGAAGGCCCCAGTGGGGGTGTTCGCATGCGGTTCCCCCACCCAGGGCAGCGTTTCGTGGCCCCATAGGGAGCTCCACCGAAGGCCCCAGTGGGGGTGTTCGCATGCGGTTCCCCCACCCAGGGCAGCGTTTCGTGGCCCCATAGGGAGCTCCACCGAAGGCCCCAGTGGGGGTGTTCGCATGCGGTTCCCCCACCCAGGGCAGCGTTTCGTGGCCCCATAGGGAGCTCCACCGAAGGCCCCAGTGGGGGTGTTCGCATGCGGTTCCCCCACCCAGGGCAGCGTTTCGTAGCCCCATAGGGAGCTCCACCGAAGGCCCCAGTGGGGGTGTTCGCATGCGGTTCCCCCACCCAGGGCAGCGTTTCGTAGCCCCATAGGGAGCTCCACCGAAGGCCCCAGTGGGGGTGTTCGCATGCGGTTCCCCCACCCAGGGCAGCGTTTCGTCGCCCCATAGGGAGCTCCAACGAAGGCCCCAGTGGGGGTGTTCGCATGCGGTTCCCCCACCCAGGGCAGCGTTTCGTGGCCCCATAGGGAGCTCCACCGAAGGCCCCAGTGGGGGTGTCCACAAGCGGTTCCCCCACCCAGGGCAGCGTTTCGTGGCCCCATAGGGAGCTCCACCGAAGGCCCCAGTGGGGGTGTCCACATGCGGTTCCCCCATCCAGGGCAGCGTTTCGTGGCCCCATAGGGAGCTCCACCGAAGGCCCCAGTGGGGGTGTCCACATGCGGTTCCCCCACCCAGGGCAGCGTTTCGTGGCCCCATATAGGGAGCTCCACCGAAGGCCCCAGTGGGGGTGTCCACATGCGGTTCCCCCACCCAGGGCAGCGTTTCGTAGCCCCATAGGGAGCTCCACCGAAGGCCCCAGTGGGGGTGTCCGCATGCGGTTCCCCCACCCAGGGCAGCGTTTCGTAGCCCCAGAGGGAGCTCCACCGTAGGCCCCAGTGGGGGTGTCCACATGCGGTTCCCCCACACAGGGCAGCGTTTCGTAGCCCCATAGGGAACTCCACCGAAGGCCCCAGTGGGGGTGTCCACGTGCGGTTCCCCCACCCAGCGCAGCGTTTCGTGGCCCCATAGGGAGCTCCACCGAAGGCCCCAGTGGGTGTGTCCGCATGCGGTTCCCCCACCCAGGGCAGCGTTTCGTAGCCCCAGAGGGAGCTCCACCGAAGGCCCCAGTGGGGGTGTCCACATGCGGTTCCCCCACCCAGGGCAGCGTTTCGTAGCCCCATAGGGAGCTCCACCGTAGGCCCCAGTGGGGCTGCCCGCATGCGGTTCCCCCACCCAGGGCAGCGTTTCGTAGCCCCAGAGGGAGCTCCACCGTAGGCCCCAGTGGGGGTGCCCGCATGCGGTTCCCCCACCAAGGGCAGCGTTTCGTGGCCCCACAGGGAGCTACACCGAAGGCCCCAGTGGGGCTGCCTGCATGCGGTTCCCCCACCCAGGGCAGCGTTTCGTAGCCCCATAGGGAGCTCCACCGAAGGCCCCAGTGGGGGGTTTTCGCATGCGTCTCCACTACCCAGAGGTAGCGCCGCCGAAAACGATATTCACACTTGCGGTATTCACAGTTGCATATGGTTGGGTCCTTCGGCCGGCTAATTTTTTTTTCTCTCTCTCTCTCTCTCTCTCTCTCTATCTATCTCTCTCCCCCCCCACCCCCACTTGTCGCCACCCCAATGGCGCAACGCCCGAGGTCTGGGCCCCACATGGAGCTTCGTGGAGGCGTCGGGTGCGGTGGGCGGTTCGCTGCTCCCTGTCCGAGGGCAGGACAGATTGAGAGGAGGCGCAGGGGTTGGAGGGCCTCCTTCTACTAGAAAACGACCATCTTGGGCCAGTGCCAAAGCCCGTTCTCACGTTCTAGCGAAAAGCGTATCTGGAAGCACTGGGTGCCGTGACGTCTATATAGACGCATTGGGGACGGATGCGTCTATGGACATCTCGACCGTTGCGTTCGGCGCAGTGCAGGGTCGGAGAAAGGTCAGATCCGTCTACGGTCTCTTCTTGTTCTAACGCAGGTGCCACATGGTGCTCCAACGCAGGAGCGGGGCTTCCAGAGCATTGTCTGAAAGATGGGTTCGGCACGAGGTCTTCCGGCGTCGGCACCCACGTCCAAGAGATGCGCGCCGCGCCGTCGGCCCCAGGCAGTCTGAGAGGAGAGGGAGAGGGAGGGAAAGAGGGGGAGAGGAGAGGGAGGGAAAGAGGGGGCGGGAGGGATAGAAGAAGAGGAGACGGAGACGGAGGAAGGGAAGAAGCACAAATACGATGGCGAACGTGCAGGCGAGAGTCCAGGGGCGGCGGCTGGACCAGGCAGGCAGGCAGGTGTTGCACGATGGGGGGTGTGGTAAACGGAGGGGGAGGTCAGAACTGTGCGCCGTTCGTGGACCTGCGGGGCTCTATAGGAGCCCCCATTGGGCCCAAAAGATGCTCGAAGGGTGCCCGTTATTTCGCAGGGTCTGACTCAGTCCCCCCGTCAGTCCTGCGCGAGCGCCGCGGGGGTCTGTCTCGCCCGCTTTTTGACGCACGGGTGAGGCTGCGCATTCTCGTCCTCTTCCTTCCTGCTGCTGGTCCTCCTCCTCCTCCTCCTCCTCCTCTTCCTCCTCTTCCTCCTCCTCCTCCTCCTCCTCTTCTCCCTCCCATCTTCCCTCCTCTCCGCGCTCTCGCAGGACCTTCAGGGCCGGCATCTCTCGGGCAGCAGGAGGCGGGCGCAGGCACCGGTCCCCGAGCGGCGGCCCCGACTCCCCGGGGGCCCGGCTGCAGAGCCAGCGTCCAGGCGCGTGCCCTGGCCACCGGAGGCCCTCCGCATCGCCCCTGGCGCTCTGGGGTCGAGGCGGAGGGGCTGGCTGCGCAGGGGTGCGGGGGGTGCGGGGCGGTGCCGTGCCGAAGTGAAACATCGGGGTGGAGGGGGCGCGCTGGCTGGTGGGGGAGAGGGGGCGGTGCCGTGCCGAAATACATGAAATGCAGCGGCCGGGGCGGACGAGGCGCGTTGGCTGGTGGGACCGTTGCCGTGCCGAAATCAAGAAGTCGGGGCGGAGGTCGAGGCGGAGGGGCTGGCTGCGCGGGGGGTGTCGGGGGGGGGGGGCGGTGCCGTGCTGAACTAAAAAAGTCGGGCGGAGGGGGGCGCGCTGGCTGTGGGCTGGCTGCGCTGGTTGGTGGGGGAGGGGTGCGCTGGCTAGTGGGGCTGGTACCGTGCCGAAAAAAAGCGGTCGGGGCGGGGGGGCCGCGCTGGCTGGTGGTGCCAGTGCCGTGCGGAAACAAAGCGGTCGGGGCGGAGTGGGCGCGCTGGCTGGTGGGAGCCGTGCCAAAAAAAATGGCAGTGGTCGGGGCGGGGGGGGCGCGCTGGCTGGTGGGACCGGTGCCGAGAGGGCGCGCTGGCTGGTGGGCTGGCTGCGCTGGCAGCCAGCGCAGCCAGCCCGCATCCCCTCTCCCGTCAGCCAGGCTGCCGGGAGAGGGGATGCGGGTGGCTGGGGGGCTGCTGCGGCATGGCTACGTTCGAAAGTGGATGCGGAGGGGGCGCGCGGGGAGGTGGGGGCCTAGGGGCTGCATCGATTGGCGCCGTGCCGAAATAGAGTCGCCGGAGCTCTAGACACCATGTGCAAGAGAATAAATCTATTTTCGTGGGTTCGACGAACATTTCAAGAGCCTTCGGTGCCTGGGCGCCTTGGGTGCCCCGCCTCGGGCCGCCGAGCTCGGCGGCGGCCGGGTCGCGTGCGTGAAGCGCTTGCGCCCTGGCCCAGGAACCCGAGGGCCCGCGGGGGCCTGCAAGGCCGTCCTCCTCCTCCTCCTCCTCCTCCTCCTCCTCCTCTTTTTCATCCTCCTCATCCTCTTCCTTCTCCTCCTCCTCCTCCTCCTCCTCCTCCTCCTCCCTCCTCCCTCCTCCCTCCTCCCTCCTCCCTCCCCCTCTCTCCCTCCTCCTCCTCCTCCTCCTCTCCTCCTCCTCCTCCTCCTCCTCCTCCTCCTCCTCCTCCTCCCTCTCCCTCCTCCCGCCTTCCCTCCTCCCTCCTCCCTCCTCCCTCCTCCCTTCTCTGTCCCCTTACAGTCATCGTGCTACTAGACTGAGCGCTGAACAAGGAGCGAAGGGGGTTTCTCTGTCCCCGAGGCCTTGCAGGGCTTAAGGGAGGCGTTTGGAGCACCGGCCAGCTTAGCTGCCTCGATACGCCCGTCTTGAGACGCAACACGTACCGTGCTTGAGATATCCGCGTCAACGCGTTGCGTGTTGGCTCAGCGAATTGGCCCACGTTTTGGCGAACGTATCGCGTCAGACCTACGTGTTCAGTCTACGAGGTGAGCTCCGTATCGATTCGCTGCGTGTCGCGTGTTGTGCATCGAGGCAGCTAAGCCGGCCAGTGGCTGGGGTGCGACCCTTTTTACTGGCCGCACTCCGCCTGTGGTCGATCTCCTAGGCTGTGTTCCAGAGGCAGGTTTCCTGGGATGCTTTTTTGTCGGGAGATATTCCTGGAGGGCTCTTGGGAGCTTTAGGGGGCCTCTTGGGGGCCTCCTGGGAGGCATCTTGGGGCTCTTGGCACAATCTGGGGCCGGAAAGGTTGAAATGTTCGCCTCTTGGGCCATTCTTGGGGCCCCGTCTGAGTGCCTTTTGGGTCATTTGGGGGGCCGCCGGCCCACGAGGCGGCCCGTGGGGCCTCCGAGGGCCTTCGGGGGCGCCCCTGGCGGGCCCGCGGCGGCCCACGAAGCGGCCGGCGGGGCCGCGGCGGGGCCGCGGCGGCCTCAGGGGCGGCCCCGCGGCGCCCAGAAGCTCTCGAGGGCGATTCGGCGGGCCCAGGAGGCCTTCGAGGGCGCTCCGATGGGCCCGCGGCGGCCCACGGAGCGGCCGGCGCCACCGCGGCGGGGCGCCGGGAGGCTCTCGAGGGCGCTCCGACGGGCCCCCAGCGCTCCGAGCCTCCCCCCCCCTCGCCCAAGAGACCGCGAGGCGCCGCCGCGGGCGGCGAGCCGGGCGCGCTCCCCGCCGCGGCGGCGACGGCGCAGAGCAGGGATCTGCAGGCGCGGGCAGCGGGGGGGGGCAGGCGTCGTGGTCGCCATGCTCCTGCTCATCGTCGTCGTCGTCGTCGTCGTCGTCGGCGTCGTCGTCGTCGTCGTCGTCGGCGTCGTCGTCGTCGTCGTCATCGGCGTCGTCGTCGGCGGCGGCGGCGTCGTCGTCGTCGTCGGTGTCGTCGTCGTCGTCGTCGTCGTCGTCGTCGTCGTCGTCGGGGGAGGGGGAGGGAGGGAGGGGAGCGCAGGGGAGGGGTAGAGAGAGAGGTTTGTCTGCATGCATGTGCGTACGTATGGATGTATGTATATGATACATACATATGTATATGCTTTCATCTGGATTAGTATACATATAGCTTTGTGCTGACGTGACGTGCGTGCGTGCCTCCTCCTCCTCCTCCTCCTCCTCCTCCTCCTCCTCCTCCTCTATCCCTCCTCCTCCCCCTCGTCAAGCCCTGTTCCTCCTCCCCCTCCCATCCTTCATCCCTGACTCCTCTCCTCTCCTCTCCCGCCCCCTCCTCCTTTCCTCTTCCCCCCTGCTTCCTACCTCGCTCGCTCCTGCGTGCCAGTCTGTCTCCTACCTCACCATCCCTGGGGGGCTGCGATCTGCGAAACTGTCGCCACTTTCGAGGGCTGCTGGGGGGCCCAGCGGAGCGGGGTCATGCGCAGATTCAGATAAGATGTCGTCATCCCTGGGGGGCTGCGACCTGCGAAACTGTCGCCACTTTCGAGGGCTGCTGGGGGGCCCAGCGGAGTGGGGTCATACGCAGATTCAGATTCGACCTCGCCATCCCTGGGGGGCTGCGATCT